TGCTATTTGTATATGTTGTCGTCAGAGCTTAAGCCTAGGACTCACAATATAAGAGGACCCAAATAGGGTGTTGAGAAATTTGTTTAAAAAGTGGTGCCCAAAAATCTAATTCCATTTTTAATTATCTTAAGAAGACCAACTATTTTTTGTTCAAAAAGAGTATAGGTTGCAACCCAGCCGGCAAATAACGTTGAAATAACGTTAAAATATCGTTGAAACCTAACGTTGAATTAACGTTGATTTAACGTTTAGGATGAATTTTTTTTTCAATGTTGATTTATCAACGTTAAATCAACGTTAGATTCAAACTAGTGCTTCCAATACCGGTAGTACCGGTACCGGAATACCGGTATTACCGGACATTTTTAAGTACCGAAATACCGGTATTGGTTTGGCTCAATACCGGTATTAAAAATATATGTAGAGGGCTTATGATATAGCAGGTGCTATCGCCCTCTTTACGTGAAACACTAAAGTAAATGAAATACTTAAAACTTTCAACAACGCTTCCGGTAGGAAAAAGATAGCTAGATGAGAAAAGACGTGTTTAAATTGTCTAAAACAAGTATTCTACGTACTTTATACTTAATATCTATTTGCCAGCTCATTTCCCACTAGGTTTGGTAGGAAATGAGCTAGCAACTAGCCAGCGAACAGCTAGCGTTTAAGACGTATAAAATACGTAGAATACTTGTTTTAGACAATTTAAACACGTCTTTTGTCATCTAGCTATCTTTTTCTCACCGGAAGCGTTGTTTGATCGTAACTGGAAGTTTTATGTATTCCATTTACTTTCGTGATTTCATTAAATAATGAAGCACCAATTTAAAATATTATCATTACGTCACTCACTTTAATGTAGAACGCATGTTTGAATTTTGCACTAACGTAAATATGAAAAGTTTCGGTAATGTAGAAAGTGGGGCGTTTAAGTAGCTGTGATCAACAGTTGTGCATTAGGCATGGGATTCAACTAGGTGTTCAAGATATTTTGTACAAAAAAATCGTCAATTTCTGCAAAAAAAACTTAAAAGTAATATGCAATAACAGAGAAAGTGACGAGGAAATACTGATGACACAAACATAGCCAATAATGATGAAGACTTTTCCGGCGGGTTTCAAATTGTAATAAGTGAAGAGAATGACTCTATTGAACTGACTGATGATTTGCAGCCGTTAATCAAAAAGGTGCGCACCGTTGTGAAATTTTTATTTCGCCGTTCTCTGACAAAAAATGATCAAAATTCAAAAACGCACGTTAGAAAAATTTGATAAAGATATTCCACTAATACTTGGATCCAAAACTAGCTGGGTTAGCTTGCACACAGTACTCGAACGTTTTGTATAATTAAAAAAATGCATTCACAAGTCACTTTTTGCCATTGAGTCCAAAGTTGATTTATCTAATAATGAGTCCGATGCAATATTAGCTGTTAACTTATGTCTTGCGCCAGTAAAACTGGCTGTGGAAACATTGTGCCAAAATCATGCAACTCTGTTGTGTGCCGATACAACATTTTCATGATAGATAACCTTTGAGAAATCGATTTAGCTGTAAAGTTATGTTGGTGCAACAATTCAATGAGAAACGAACTCTTTTTCTAGCATACAACATTTTTTGCACAAGGGACATCAACGTTACAAGAATTTGGATCTAGCTCTATCTTTTGAGCACCATAGCAAATTAGCCATTGTAAATACCATTACTCGACTGAAAGATCGGCTCAATCAGAAAGGGTATAGTCCTCTCCCTTTCACCAGCGTTTTTTCCGATAGTGATTCGACAACGCTGTAAACTTGACATTGAAAAAAAAGCTTGACTTTGCAATTTTGAAAAATAAGAAATGTAACAACAAGGGAAAATTGAATGTTTCGAATAATTCATCAAAAATTATATGTATTGAAATAGGAATTTTTGAAGAAGGAGGAAATCGTTGTATATATTTGCAAAATTCCTACCATTACTTGAAAACTGTGAAGCCAACAAAATTAGATAATCTTTTGAAGATGATTTTCTGAACGCCCTATGTTTTTAACGGGCTCATTTTACAAAGCAGAAAAAAGCGAAAAATGAAAAAGTCAGTAGTTTTGATATAAAATAAATAAGCTGATTGAATCAATAAAATTTTTACTATTAACTTGAGATTTTATTTAGATTATGATAAATTTAAAAATAAAGTTTAATACCGGTATTGTAATTATTTAGTACCGATATACCGGTATTGAAAAATGGTATCGGTATTGGAAGCACTAATTCAAACGTTATATCAACGTTGATTCGACGCGAAAAAACGTTACAACGTTGAATTTACGTTGATACAACGTTTAAAATGATAGTTTTTTTAATGTTGATTTATCAACGTTAAACGACTGTAAAACACTTTTTCACCATCAAAACGTGCTATGTATGTCAAAATGTATATATGTATGTAAACGTGCTATGTGCGTCAAAATATGATCACCATCAAAACGTACTATGCATGTACATTAGTGTTGCTGTACATTATCAAGGTATATTATGGATATTAAATCTATTCATAGTTTATACTTAGACTATTTAGAACTTTTTCAGTTCCCAACGGGCATTTGTTGGTTTAAAATTGGTTTAGATCACGTTTAGATGGCATTTACGTCGATCTAAACGTTTAGGAATCTATTCTAAACGTGTTCTGAATATTTAATTTGCGTTTAGATGACATTTACATCGTTCTAAACGATTAGGAATCAATTCTAAATGAGTTCTGAATATTTAGTTAGCGTTTAAGCGCTAAATCATGCCGGTTTCCGTTACTTCATTTAGCCCAGAAGGGATTTTGCACAGAATGAAACGGACATTTTGGATCTTTCATTATTGTTTAAAAATTTGAATTTCATATGAATATTAAATTACGTAGATAGTAGTTTAGAAAACTTAAAAAAAATTTGAGTAAACAAAAATTGAGTTAACGGATGTTTTAGGAGGATTAACTTTTTGATAATGACCTTTAGACATGCTTGTTTGTATATTAAAACATGCTTGTTACCATATTTAAAATCGTTATTTAGTCTGATTTTCTAATGGCATAAAAAACTACACTTAGACTGTTATTAAAATAGACTATTAGTCTATAATAATTCGCATAAATATCACAAAAATTTGAAAAAAGGTTTAGTTATGAAAGTTATTAAGATTGGTATTATTTAATTAAATTGAAGCAGTTTGTATTACAGAAAAAAGTGGTTTTACAAGATTTGAAATAGTTTGTATCAAACCAAGAAGTAGTTAAAAGATTGCAAAAGAGGTAAATAACAGATAAATAATAAGTTTCTTATTATAATTCTTATAGAATGTTATTCACATAATAGGTACTTGACTTGTAGGCTACATGAATATAAAAATATAAATATAGATTAAATCAAAATCAAAAAAGATTACAAAATCCTAATTCTAAAAAAAATGCATTTATAGCCCTTATTCTCTTAAGTACTTGAGACATTGTCAATGTAGTGCAAATAAATATTAAGTGTGAATCTCAACTACTTGAGAGAATAAGGGCTATAAATGCATTTTTTTTTAGAATTCGGATTTTGTAATCTTTTTTGATTTTGATTCAATCTATATTTATATTTTTTTATTGTATTTATTTTGTTTTACATTCGTCCTTTTTTTTAAAAAGAAAAAGACTTTTAAAATAGAAGTGACTTGTTAAAAGTTAAAACAAATCATTATAAGTCTTTCAATTTTTAAGTAAAAGAAATGTAATGAAGTGTAAATTACACTGTGATTTACACACATACACACATACATGCATATACATCCTGATATAACTACACACACAGATATATATATATATATATATATATATATATATATATATGCATACATACATACATGCATACATACATACATACAAATATTTTCATTTTAATAATTCTTTATGTAACGCTTTATCTACGAAACTTATCTAAGAAACAATACTAGTTTTCGTATTTAAAAAATTTTACTGCTTCTTTTTCTTGGACACACAGAACCCGTTTAAAATTATTTGAATGTTACCACTGATGTTTATATATATATATATATATATGTATTAGTGATGTGCCATCGGCTAAGGCCGATTAAGGCTAATAATAGGTTTAATGTATTTATTTAAGGGTATTATAATTATATTAAAGGTTTAAATTACATATTCAATATGTACCTATTTCTCAGAAGTGATTCGACCTATTAGCCTATGATATTAGTAACCAGCAACCAATTAATCGGCTTAACCATTGGCCGATTAATCGGCTGATGGCATCGGTTGATTAATCAGCATTTGCCAATGCATCAGTATTGGATAATAAGTCAAATCAAACTAGAGCATAGGCATACCTTATATATACAAATTGCATACCTAATATTAGGGTATTATCTTTATAAACATATATTAAACCCTATTATTAGTCTTAATCGGCCTTAGCCGATGGCACATCACTAATATGTATGTATATATATATATATATATATATATATATATATATATATATATATATATATATATATATGTATATATATATATATATATATATATATATATATATATATATATATGTATATATATATATATATATATATATATATAATTAGAGAATATATATATATATAATTAGAGTAGCTTCAGGAATTACTATGTATATATATATATATATATATATATATATATATATATATATATATATATATATATATATATATATATATATATATATATATATAGTAATTCCTGAAGCTACTCTTCATATTTTGGTACACGCGGTTCAATGTTGGAATGTAAAAGAACAGCGAATAATTTTTGAAAAGACACTTGAAGAAAACATTCCTAAATAATACTTTTTTTTATCTCTATTTCTTAGTTTGTGTTTTTACCTTGTAAATTTATTTTACAGAGGGTGATTAATAAAATATTAATAATTATTATTATTATTATTGTTACAAATAACCTAATTATACGTTGTTATTAAGCTTATTATTTAGTTATAATATACCAAAAGAAAATAAAATGGATCAATCAAGTAAGATGTCTAAATTTATATCTTTGATATAGACCACCTTCACTTTTAAATAATCTTCAGATTTAGACCTACTAACTTTTACGACTTATGAACATATTTAATCCTTTATCCTTTTAAGGATAAACTTTTTTAAATCAAATTTAGGAAAATTTAGTAAATTTTCATTGAAAACAACTTTGCATAAATAATGTAACTATATAGTTATTTACATTATAGCTAACCAATCAGCACTTTCTCCTTTTCTGTTACCCCGAAAATTTGATTCTAAAATACCAATATTCAGACAGAGAGCTGCCACATCAAAAGACAATGTAATAGATCGATCAAGTAATACTTAATTTTTAACTTAAGTGTAATATCCAAGGGATTTGGTAAATATTAGAGATATCTAGAATTAACTGTAATAATGATATTAGTTATTGTTTATTTATAGTATAATGTTGTATATAGTATATGGGGTCTGATTTACATATATACTGCAAAAATTTAATGACGTTTCTAAATAAGTTTTGATTTACAACGCCCAATGTAATTGTATAATTATTTATATTGTAGTGAAACTCTCAGCATTAAATAGAAAGTTTCAAGCAAACATGATACTGAGTGAGCCAACTGCTCCTCAAGAAAATGAAATCGATAATGGGAGTAAGTTATCAAACCTTATTTATATATTATTTAATAATATATTTTTTAATTCGACTGTTGTTTTTTTTTACTGTAGATAAGGCAGTTGCTTTGCAATTGTGCTATCTATTATCAACCTATCACTGTGAACAGTTATAACGAAATTTGTGTAGTTTTTTTAATAAGGTTTTTATATAAATGTTATATATTTTACAGAGTTTCAGAGAAAAGTTTTTTATCAGTTATCAAATATGGCTAACGAAATTAAAGATTTACGAATAGCAGTGGAAATGATGGCCGTACCAAGTTTAGAGACTGTTGCTGAGGTCCATCTAGAAGTTATAGCTGGAGCTATTGGGACCTTGAATGGATACAGAAAATTAGAGGAGCAATGTGGAGTTTTTGCTAATCGAACAACTTCAGTAAGTGTGTAGCTAATTGTTTTCATCCTCTTTCCCAGAAAGGTTTTTAACGTCTATATAATGTTTGTTTTGATGTCAGAAAATATGTTTTGCTTTTATTGAGGTGGCAAGACTTTTGTTTTTGTATTAATTAGAATCACATGTGTAATGAAAAGTAGCATTTATAAATAATTTCTTTGTAGCTTCGCCTTCTTTCACGAATCGGAGGGTCATCCATTAAAGATACTTCTAAGAATCTATTGAAAAGACTTTTTACAAATTTTGTTATGTCTCATTTGAGTATGGATGGTAAAGGTTCTCTTAAAAAGCTTCCGTTTAGAGACTCTGCTCTGTGTCAACTTGTTGTTGGTAAAATATTATTTTTATATTTTTTGTAATTGAAATTAAATTCAAACTCAGGTTATAATTCAAATCTACTCAGTACACACTACGAATTTATAAAATTGACGAATAAATGATTTATATGAATTGAATGAAGATGTTTATTGATTTTTTTAAATTATTTTTAGAGTGTGTATTGAAACGATATTCTACGTCTTCTTTGTCCGAAATACATTCGTGCATTTGTTCTCATCTTAGAATGGCTCCGTTTCGTTTAGGTGGCACTGGAAAGGTGGCGTCCATTTTTCCAATTCTCAAGATGGAGAGGCTGGCTTAAACGATTCAAGCAAAGATGATGCTTATTGTCATGGAAGCGATCATGATAATGATAAATACGATAATTCATATTATAATAATTAAAATTAGTGTAAATATGTTTAAGACTTGCATTTATGAAAAAAAATATCTGTATGTTTGATTCGTTTATGAGTATTTGTTTTTATTTTATGAGTAGTTACGCGTTCAACGTTTGGCTTTTCTTTACGGCGCTTATTTAAAGAAGCATATAAATTAAACGTAAATTTATAAAATTTAGACGACGTTTAAAACGAAAGATTTAGATGGAGTTTAAATAGCATTTAAAACGAACCATTTAGATTCGGTTTAAATGGAACATTCGATTGACCTACGTTCTAAATCAAAACTAAATTAAATCTAAACATTTAGAACGAACATTACTTAAACGTTGATTAAATGTTCGTATGCCCGTCGGGTTTAGTTTAGTTAAAATAGCTAGGTATGATTAAAGAAAGAGATAAAACTTGTTTTATTCAAAAATACATATTCAAATATTACATATATTTACATGTAATTGAATAAAATCTACACAAATTTCTTCTCTTTTCCACCACCTTTTTGAAATAAAGCGTAATTTAGAAAGTCAAACAACGTTCCATTGACCGAGGGTTCTTTTGGTCCATTGAATACGATAGAAGAAGCTGTAAATAAAAAATATTAAAAAAAACAAAAAGGGAAGATTTAAAAAATAAATAATGAATGGAAAAGTGTTACAACTTATGAAGGTATATCTTTTTCAACGCCATATAGATTAGTGTTCTTAAAACATATTTTTCCACCTTTGCCCTTCATATCCATGGAGGCCATATAACTTTTCGAAAATACTCCGAATTTTTAAAAAATAATATAACTGTTAGTTGGTTATTAATAACTTTTTCAAATATTTAATTTAAATAAAACAATCTTTTTAATATATTAAAAATAAATTAATAATCAAAATATAAAACATTTCTAGCATTGAAAAATAATTTTCTGGGTGGCCACATAAAATTTTTATAAGAAATTTTATGTGGCCATTTATTAATGGTTTAACGTCCATGTTTATACACTTATGGGGCTTGGACAGGGATCAAATAATGTCATTTGTTATGTTAAATAGCATTCATTTTCTAAAGCAATTTTTTACAATTCCATGCACTTTAAGCCGTTAACCAGTTTTGCAGACCGAGAATGGGAATTTTGAACATTATACATCCATCAAAAATTAAAAAAGGAAGAATTAATGAGGAGCTTTAATCAAATTTTTACCTCTTTAGAGGATAATTTAGGATTTTAGAAGTGGTTTTAAAATAAGAGGACTTTTGAGGATTTTAGAGGAGCTGCAGACACCCTGATTATAAATCAGGTAACTCCACGAATTAACTGTAATTGATTTATCTGTAAAAAAACATGAAGTAAATCTAATATTATGCTTGTGGAGATATTATATTGTGGAGAACCATCCAAACCACACAAGTGGAAAATTTGCATCCAAGTTTCCACTTGTGTGCAAATCTTGCATCCACTTGTCAACATTCTCATTATCACATTTTTCTTTTGTAGTTGTGAATTTAAAATTTTCCCAATACTGTTTGCTTTCTTTTAGAATTGAAATAGTTATACAAGTAGTTATATATTTTGTATCAACAAAATAACTCTTCTTACCACATTATTTAAAAAATAATAATTGTAATATATAGATGTAATACCTGAAGAGAATTTAGTTTTTATTTCTATAAACTTAAGCCAATTCTTCTCTGCATTTTAGTGCAGTCAATGCTTTGGTACCTGGAAGCTGACAAACAATTTTATCACTAATCCAATCAGATGGAATTACTTCTTCTTGTAAATCTTCATTCCAAACAGCTCCTTTCCGCATATTCGATTTTGAAAAAATTACATGAACTAATATAAAATGAAGAAACCATAATATAAGTGTACTAACAGGCCTAATTAAACTAGCTAAATTTGAACATTTTATAACCATGATACTTGCTAAACAATAATATTAGTAGACATTATAAGCAATGATAAGATTTTCTTTATTTTATAAATTTATTATATTTTAAACTCATTTTTATTAATTTATTTGTTACTCTATTATTCAGCAGAGTTCTGAATATATTATGTTCAAATAACTTAAGGCTCAATAACAAAGACAAATAATGAAAGAATACTAGGTTGCTAAAACATAAACATCTACATAAAATAATTATGGAATATTGAAAAAAAATAGAAATACAAAAAAACAAAAATACTCATTATTAATATAAAATATAATAAAATAATATAAGGTATATTATAATATATGACACAATAATATCTACTTTTAATTAAAATATAAAAACAACAAAAATTAAAAAAGAAAATATTTTGATAAATAATAAATTATCATTCAAACAATTTTCAAGACCAAAAAATAACTTGTAACTTATTTTTTTACTTATCTTCATCTAATAAACATTACTTATTTTTTACTTATCTAATAAACATTAATATTAATACCAATTTTAAACATTATTAGAATTTTTTTTTTTATCAAAAAATAAAAATATTACATCAGTTACTTTTTGGGCTTTTCTTATTTTACTTAAAACATCAACTCAATTCTAGGCTTTTTTCATAATTGAGTTTTAATTTGTAATGATGAATTAACACTGAAAAAAAAAATATTAGCAGACAAAAAGAAAATATTTCTTTATTGAAATATATATAAATATTTCAATAAAGAAATTTTAGATCGATTTTTATAAATATAAATTTATATCAATCAATCTAAATTTTTTTCTTTTCCGCCACCTTTTCGAAATCAAGCGCATTTTTAGAAGTTAGACAAAATGCCATCAATTAAAGTTTCAGTCGCTCCATCGTATTTAATAAAAGAAGCTGTTAATAAAAAAGAATTAGAAAAAAAAAAAAAAAAAAAAAACACAAGGAGAAATTTTTGAATATATAAAAAATGAGAATAAAAAAGTTTTACATATCTTATAAAGGTATACCTTTCACTACATCATATAAATTAGTGCTCTTAAAGCATATTTCCACCTTTCCCCTTCATATTCATGGAGGTCACAAAATTGTTGGAAAATATTCTAAATTTTAATAGATAAGAGAACTGATATTAATTATGCGAAAACTAATATTATTATTTTTTTTTAATTTAAATTGAACTCATTATCAAACAATTTTTTTGCTAAATAATTTAATCCTTAAAATTCCTGAATAATTAAAAATTATTTTAATTACCTCAGCATTTTAAAGATATTCCATCAATTGCAATTGATTCACCTAAAAAAAACAACAAGTAAAGCTAATATTATTGTTTGAAATTTTAATTATCTTTAAACAAATACTCATCATATTTTTAAAGTGACTGATAAAAATGGATTTCATTAAAATCACTTCATTTGTATTAAAAAATTAATATTAAAGCCTTAAATAATTCATTATACAAGAGTATTTTGTAATACAATCTAAATAATTGTTGCGATATGTAATTTTTTTATCCGAAATTTAGCTTCTGTAAGCTTTAGAAATTTTTTAAAGGAATTATTGATGAATTTGGAGCTACGGGTACTAATGTTTTTATATTGTTGTAATGTTTGTATTCATTCCCTGTTAGTTTCTGTAAGTCAAAATTTTAAGGTGATTCCATAATAAATTCTGTTATATCTAAAATTTAGTGTTAGTCTGAATAATTTAATTTCTAAAATCTGTTTTGCATTGCCTGTCTTATAACATCTTTACTTGGAACAAAAACCATGTGGTTTAAAAGTGAGCTAGAAGCTTTCAACAATAAAGAAAATATTGCATTCGCTAATCCTAAAAATATATTAAACCTGTCAGCAAAATCAGCTGTAAATAATCAGTCTTTGAGCATTGTGACCCAAGTTAAACGAAAAATATCGATTTTTAAACGGTAATGTTCTTTCAGGAAAATCGTCTGAACATGTTTTCGATCTCTTGAAAATTCTATATGGTATAAGTTCAGTATTTACATTTTTTTTCCATTATAAATCTCTATAACTTTAACCGGGGTAGGTACAATTGGCGGGGCGGGGCGGATCGGCGGGGCGGATCAATTAAACAGTACAAACGGCGGGGCGGATCATTGCATCGGGTAAGATTTATAATGCAATCAGTCATATTTTATAAAATGGAAAAGAAATCTATTCAATTTTAGTTTTATTTCATTAAATGTTTAAACATCGAACATTTTAGTTACTTGCGTATTATTACTTAAATAAATAACAAAAATGTTTTATAATATTTTATCTACAGGAAATACAAAAACTGATTGCCTCAGTTTCATAGGTAAGAAGTTTCTGGTTTAATGTTTCAAAGTCTAAATTACATATATTTTAAAAATAGGTCCGTAAAAAAACAAATTTATGTTTTATAGAGTCATTTTCTTATATAAAAACAACGTGATCTGGCAACTTATAGTAAATGAACCGGCAAAATTTCATGAAGTAATCCGCCTAACATTTTGATTGCTTACAAATACTGTTTATAGTTTAAAATAAATTCAATATTGAATAGCAACTATATATGTTTCAAATTGATTTTCCTACAATAAAACAACGTCATCCGCCAATATATATCAAGTGATCCGCCAAGTTATATCAATTGTTCCGCCAACTTATAGTAAATGATCCGCCAAGTTTCATGAAGTGATCCGCCTAACATTTGTAATTTATGTCAAGTGATCCGCAAACTTATAGTAAATGCTCCGCCAAATTTCATGAAGTAAGTAAAAATATCTCTCCGATATTTTTCCCAAAAATATTGCTTAAATAACCTTTTTTTTCCTTACCATTAGTATTAAACAAATATATTATAAGTGTGCTATAAATAGTGCATCGAGCGTTACAAATATCTTTTTTCTAAAACAAAATTAGTAAGATGTTACAATGACATTATTTCCATTTGTACAGCAAAAATTATTATTATTAGCACCACAAACGTAATATATTAAAACTAAATAGAAATAACATTATAACTAACCTTTTTTTAATAATACCAGTAAACAAAGTAACTCTTGGCTTAATTGTTTGAATAGGATTTCATGTCATAAACTGTTACCTTATGATCAATAAAGTAAATATCAAAACTCGATAATTTACTAAATTTAAACCATAT